TTGGCAAAATCTAAATTCCATAGATTTCATGCTAATTCAGTACCTACTTTTTCAGTCAGGAGTCGTCGCTGGCATGGTCCATTTTTGCAGCTTGGTATTAAAAGGTCAGCCTTTCTTAGAAACGTGTTTTGATCGTGAACCGAAATGCTGTTGCTCATTAAATTACTATCGTGAGAAAATGTTTGAAGTGAGCGTGCACGTAAATACATGGAACATTTAATGAGAAGGTGCAATATTTTAGCAGCATTGCATGGATCAAATTAGAGGTTCTCTTATACCTACAAAGTCAGGACCGAATTCACAGTCGTTTTTCAATCGACTTCTTTCCTTGGGGAGATCCCAGACAATTGAATTTATTCAAGGAAAAAAAGAAAAAAAAAGGAAGGAAAGTGTGTGTTCCTTCTAAAAGGAAGTGTGTGCATAGGGTTTGTGTGCAACATAGTTCCTTTTAGCATATAAATACGTCCCATTTACATTGTGCATAAGGATGACACTAAAAGGCCTCTAAAAATAAAAATGACTATTTTATGAACCTCGAGGAAGGTTCAACAAATGACTGCAAAAATACTGCCTTGCGAAAGATTAAAATGATTTGCCACTACGGGAAAGAAGTGATTCTAGGAAATTTCAAAGTAGGTGCGAGCCTACCCATGCATTTACAGTATTTCTTCATTCGTAATTTGTAAATTTCGCAGTGGCAAATCATTACAATCTTATGCAAGAATTATGTTTCAAAATTATATCGTTAAATTTTACTCAGAGTCTAAAAAAATTATCATTTTTATGATATGTTTGAAGGCCCCAAGGTAGGGAGCTGATTGAGAAGTGACACGAATACGACATTAGATTGTTCCTGAACAGGGAACATTTTCCCATCATAATTATTTGACGGTGAGATTTAAGAGTTAGATCGAATCGAACACATTTTGCAATAAGATACCAATATTTTTGGCTCATTTTAGAGACAACAATCCATTTAGAGCCACCATCATTTAGCCATCATTTTAGAGCCATTAATCTTCCAATGCAAATAGGAGCGTTGACGGATGAGCCAGAGCTAGTGGTTTCATAAGATGTTTAAATTTCTCACAAAACATTCACTCACGTGCATGAAAATTACTCCGGAAATGGACGCGTCTCGGACATCATTAGCAACCGTAGTCATTATAGTAAACAGTAGTCATACCTTTATCAAAATTTAGTCATAATCAAATTGGACGTTTAGGATTTTAAAGTAAGACTTCAAAATCCAGACGGTCGATCATTGGCCCAACACTCCTCTGACTCAAAGGCATATCGCTTGGTTTTCTCATGAACCTTGGAAAACATTGAGTTTTGTAGATAGCAGGGTTTACGTAGAGATGGAGATCCTTACGTCAGAGGAGCGACGATTTGTGAAATTTGTTTGATGAACCGGATCTGAATCAGCTGAGAATTTGTTTGATGAATCGACGGCGTTGTTTGACAAACCATGACAAAATGTTCGACCGGCTGAACGGGGCTTAAATCGTGGTTAAGTCTCTTCGTATTTTTTTCTGCAGCAAATTTCTTTGAGGTTACATTTCAAACAGGAAGAATATATCTTAGAGATCCCGTACTTCTATTCTTCCTATAGTGTTAAAGTAAGAGTTACTATCAAAAGCCAACGCTCAGATTCGTGTAATAACGATCGACAAACGAAAAGTCGAGCAATTTGTTTAGTAATCTTAATCAAATTTGCGAAACCTCGCCTGGGAAGGTGCTCAACTGCTCACCCCGACATTCGTCGATCATAATTAGGGGAATTTTGTTTGATATTTTGCACAACAGGTTGCTCATAAATCATATTAGGCAAAAAGTTGTGTTTACTTACAAATTTAGATTTTGCCTCAGCCAATTACATTTATTTCATCGCGGGGTCTTTAATATACTGTCTCAAATGTCTTCAAACTATATCAGTTGAGCCTCATATTTTGGTTAGAGTTCCGACAGTTGGCACGCCTCTTCCTTGCTTCCTTTGAATAGGAGGTCCGGCTCCCTGTCATATATTATCATTATTTATATTTTTTTACATGCAATTAAATCAAAAGGAGAGTGCCGTCAAAAAGAAAAACGAATCTCGGAAAACTTGAAAAAATTACAGGAGTAGGTCGATCCTCTGCGAGACGCTCAGATTTGTATCGTTGATCCCTTCCGAAATGAGACGTTAATTTATTTCTCCTCAAACATGCAACCCCACAAATTTTTCCGTCCGGGAAACAATCTAATATCATTATCGTTCTCAAATGGGGCCTCGAAAGTTGACTTTTGACGTGTCTAATGTATGACTTTATAATTTTCCACGGGGCAAGGTTTCAAGAAAGGGAAAGTAAAAATGTAGGTCAATGAGCTGTTGTGCGGCTTTGTGGTTTGGCCAAACGCCGTCGGAGGGCGCCACTTAAACTGCTCTCTTGGACTCAGCGTCGAATTCTCCTTTCTCAATGGATCTCTAGGAATATGATACGATAACGTGAATGATCCGCGAAAATCCAATGGACCCCACTCCTAAATGGACGGAGTTTAACAGAAAGGAACCAAACCACATCAGCTATTACCAAGTTTAACTGGGCAATTAAATTTTTTACGAGAGATCGCTTGTTCGGATTTCTTTGAAAATTTTAAAGAATTAGCTTCGTACCATGGAGAGTTTTCACTGAAATTTGCACGAAAATTCGCACAACCGTTTTCATGTAAAAAATTGAAATGCCCAATTTTTGGCAACAGCTGATGTGGCTTGGTTCCTTTCTGTTTAACGCGGTCCAAATAACGAATTAAAAATTCGCTATCAGAAAAAAAAAAATGTTTAAGACGGTGATTATGTAGATTTTTTTCATTATTCGGTGTCTTTATTTGCGGATTGCCTCTTCGTGCTTTAAATAAATATGTTTCATATATGTTGCAAACATCCCACGATTTATCAAAAATAAGGGTTTGGGGCTGCGTGCATCGCGATTTTTCTTGCAGGCACATCTTTCGCAGGAAGAAGAATATAAATAGAAACGAATTCCCTAATGTCCTTCCAAAAATTATTAACAAGTCAAAATATGAAAATTAGCCTTTTCTTCGTCTAATTCAACATTATGTTTTATTGGCGACTTGTTTTTGTAGTATGTTAATGGAAGCCAGGAGCGCCTTCAGTTTCCTTCGACGGCGCAGAGATACAACTATTCGTGTTTGATGGATGCCCGTGTCGCATCTGCAAAATTGAAGGCGCGATGGCGTGTGGCGTGAACTTGCAATGCATCGCTCTATGTATACTGATAAGAAGTGTCTCGGTTGGATTCGGGAGAAAAGTTTAAAACAAGGAAGCCCGATTACGCCTCTCCTATCTTCGGCTGCATTGCTCACGAGTCTTTGAAGTCTCGATACGTATACGCCTCAGGCGTATACGGCGCAGAGATACAACTATTCTAATAATGGGAACAAACACAATACGGGAACAGAGATAGGGAAAGGACGCCCATTGATGACGGCGCAGAGATACAACTATTCGTGCTTGATGGATGGCCGTGTCGCATCTGCAAAATTGAAGGCGCTCTGGCGCGAGTTGTGAACTCGTAATGCTCCGCTCTCTGCTGCCAATGGATGGGGTGTCGCTTAAATTCAAGGGAAATTGCTACACGAATACGTGCCTGATTTTTCAGGCTATTTTGATACTCGATTTTTTTCTTTTTTTCAATTTAACGCCAGATTATTTTTTAAAGGGTGGATTTGTAGACATATATCTAAGGCTCGCAAGTACCGGTCCCATAAAACCCGCAGGACACGTGTTGCAGCCTCGGGTCATATTGCTCCAGCTTAGGCACCTACGGGTTAGAATACGCAAGTTGATATCATTAGCTCCTACCGAATCTGCAAGGCAGCGCTGTAATGCTGCTACAATCTATTATAAAAAATTTCAAACTTAATTTCAAAATTACAAAAATATGGAGGTTTTTCTTTGTCCCGCAACATCGTCACTTTAGGAGCGTTTATAAATTGCGTAACGCACTTTTCCGACATGTTGACCTCGCCCCCCCCCCTTTTAACGCTTTTGTGACGTAAGTCCTTGACCATTAACACCTAAAAGCATAATAGAGTGACACTCTACTCTNCCCCCCCCCCCCAGAACGTTACGTAATTTATGGACGGTCCTTTTTAAAGCACCTATATAGGGAGAGTACGGACATCTCGAAATACGTAGCTCTTAGGGCCCAAAAGGGTAGGTAACCTTCGAAAACGAAAAATGTCACTGTCAATCTTAAGACTCCAATATCAAACGAAAATTCATAAGTAAGCATTCTTCCTCAAAAATGAGTAAGTTTATGCGAACACTGAGTCAAATACGTGCTTTACCAACGACAGTTCCCAACAATTACGATTATAAATCACTCTGGATAATTTGAATTCATACATTGCCTACCCCCTTTGGGCTCTAAGAGCTCCATGACCTTATCTCAAAACTTGTCCATACTCTTGCTATATAAGTACTCTGGTCCTTTTGCAGATATACGGGAATGTTCCTTATGTTCGTTTAGAGTACCTATATTGAGAGAGTAAGGCCTCTGGGCCCCATGGAGAGGCTTAGGACCCAAAAATGGCGGTGCTTTGTTTTGGTTTTTGTGGATGGGAGGGGGGTCATTGCCAACATTTGACGGTTATCACCAACCGCACTTGCTGCCAACCTTACTACATCTAAGATAATTTTTCTCAAAAATTGCACACGACTAGCCTTAAAAACATGTAAAGAAGTCTCGATAGTGCATTTGAGTAAATTTCTCGTTACGATAAGCAAAGAAAACTACATATTGAGTCATTTTGCATTACATTAAATTATGGCGTCCGCCATTTTTGGGTCCTAAGGGCACCATCCAGCCGAAGATGGTTGAGCCAATCAGAGGTGGTAACACCAGTGGCCATACTCTCTCACTATAGGTACTCTATGTTCACTGAGATTTCCACACAAATTCTGTCGGCTGAAAGCACCGTTCGGTCTGTTCCAGGTTCCAAGGCGACATGTCCTCGAAGACCGACGCAACCGGAACTCCGACGGGGGGCCCCGAATGAGTCGCGGCTGAGGACCCGGCGCGCGATGGAGTCCCGGCCGCTGGGGGCGGCATGCTGCCGGCGCCCCACCCGGAAGTGATCGTGCAGTCGCCCTCCCCGGAGGCAGAGCCCTCTCCGCCGCGCTCGCCGACGCCCGCTCCCGCTCCAGCGCCTGAGCCGGAGCCGGGGCCGGGGCCGATGATGGCCGAGGCGGAGCCGCCGAGCGAGGCGCCGCAGGAGGCCCCGCACGCCCACGCCGAGCCCGTCCACGGCGGACACACCAAGACCCTCGTCGCCAACCTCGCCGACCGCGACCGCGAGGAGGCCTCCATGCCGATGCCCCTCCCCAGACGTCCCGCCCCCTCAGACTCCGAGGACGACGAGGAACTCAACGATGTAAGTACCAACACCAACATGCATATTTACAGTGAGAAAAAAACCTCGTGCGTGGGACCCGAAGTTTAGGTTATATGGATCTCTGAAGTTTTCGAATTGAGCATCTGAACACTTTAGGTCCGGCTGCTGAGGTTTGGATCACACATCTGGAACTTCAGTTCTTACATCTGAAGTACTTCGGTTTTCACATCCGAACAACTTCGGTTCTCACTTCTGAAGTACTTCAGATGTAAGAACTGGAGTTCCAGATGTGTGATCCAAACCTCGACAGCTAGACTTAAAGTGTTCAGATGCTCAATCCGAAAACTTCAGAGATCTATGTGACCTAAACTTCGGGTTCCACGTGCGAGGTTTTTTTCTCCATGTGCGTCAGCGGCTGATTGTTGACAAAACTATTCTGCCGTGCTAAGGGAAACGCCGTATGAACATTCGAGAGTTGCCAAATTTCCTCCATTAAATTGTTAATTTTTGAGAAGAGTCGTCGATATTTTTCCTTTGAATGTTTAGATCCTGTAGATTAAGGTGATTCAATGGACGCCATATTTTGTGTCAGAACGGCATGCGATATATCGCATCAATTGGTTCCATATTTTCAGCTACTCGTCATTTTTCTCCTATTTTGAGATCGCAATTTTGTTGTCAGGAGTCTAAAGCACTCGCTTACCAATTTTAACAAAGAAATTCAATGTAATAAAGGCGTGGTTTTTTCAGAGAGAAAATATCGCATTCGAGTGCAGTTTCGATATCAGTAACGAATGCGATGTTTTCTCTCTGAAAAAACCACGCCTTTATTACGTTAAAATTCTTTGTTTAAATTGGTAAGTGAGTGCTTTAGACTCCTGACAACAGAAGTGCGATCTCAAAATAGGAGAAAAATGACGAGTAGCTGAAAATATGGAACCAATTGATGCGATATATCGCATGCCGTTCTGACACAAAATATGGCGTCCATCGAATCACCTTAAGTTGCGAATGAAATTCTGTGTAAAATTGGGAGAAAAATATCCGCAAGTTTTCCAGGAAATCCGGATTTTATTAAAGGAAATTTGGCAACGCCTAAAGGCTCATACGGAGTTCTTCCTTAGCACGGTAGTATAGACAAAGAAGACATAAAGAGTATGGAGCGATCCTATTGATCGAAATGGTTGGTTCTGATAGACAAAAGGAGAAAATGATGGACTAACTAAAGGGTCTCTCGTGTGTTGCCGTTAGTTAGTCTAATACCTACTTCATCCGTCCATTGTAACCATCCGCTTCTACCAATAAGATCCCTCCATAATGATGATGTCCAGGGCCGGATTTAGTTGGGCTGCGGCCCATGGCGGTAAATTTTGCAATTTTTTTTTAAATTTAGGTATAAAAAAATTACAAACGAGAAAAGGCGACAAAATCTCTCATTCCCTAAGTATCTCTCTAAGAGTAGAGTAATTTCTAATTCTGCCGTCTGTCGGTGATACAAGAGACAGCACCTTTAATTAGTTGAGTTAAGAGATAAACCAAACGTGCAATTTGGCCTGGAACGCAATTTCGGCGCAGAGAGCAATGATGCGGGGACTTGAGATGAAAAGGAGAGGCCCTCGGCGCAGCGCGGCGATCGGCATGATGTGACAGATATTAACGCCTACCAGACTGCATGAATACTTCACGCATTGCGTCAAACAAAGTGCGTTCACTGCGTTCAGCAGCGTAGCGGTCGGCGTGAAACGCATGGCGCCTACAAGACTGTAGGAATACTTCACGCATTGCGTCAAATACATTGCAGTCAGCGCGACGTTGCGCTGCGGCAAAGGTTAAAATTATTAAACCACATTCGTGTTTGTTCTTTCATAATTTTTTTGGTTCATTTCTTGTAAATGAAAGGCCGTGTCCACAAAGAGATAGGTTAACCTACGGAACTTAACTTTCGCGCTAAGTTCCATGAACTTTTGCTAGGAGTGTTGACAGGGCTTTCGCAAAAAATGTGTCCAACTCGAGTAAACGCGTCTTATGCACCCCCCCCCCGGCACGTTCACTTGATGGTTTTTATTGATGTTTTAGAACGGATGAGAAGAAGGCGGCAAAATACAGGCGGCCCATGGGCGGCAAGTAGGTAAATCCGGCCCTGATGATGTCCCTAGGTTTCTCTGGAACAAACTATCAGGCTTAATGAAAGTTCTCCGGTAGGGAGTGAATACATTCATTGAGGAATCCAAACCTAGCGGCAACCCTGCAAACGTAGGTGGCGGTGAAGGCAGACTGTCATTGTAACGTATGCAATCCTCCCTATAATGGCCTCAACTTTGAGAGATTGTTTGAACTTGGAGGCTCGCAACAGAGAAATTCAGTAGTGTCATCGAGTTTTTTGGCAGAATTTTACAAAATAAGAATTACTCAATAATCAAATTCCTTTGGCAACCAAGAGCTCAATTTTGTCACTTAACTAATAATTTTTCGCTGCTAGAAAAAAGAATACCATTTAAACTTTACGGGTTTCTTCGCAAGACAAAATAAATTACCCGATCAAATCAGAGGGTGTCTACTAAAACAGGCTGACCAAATAAAATCAGTACTTTTACAGTACTTTTTCCGTACATTCCCGAGAAATTCAGTACCTCCTCAACGGAAAAATTCAGTACTTTTTCAGTACCTCCATTTGACGATATTCGAAAAATTTCACAAATTAGAATTTATCTCTCTAATTGCGACAAAAATGAAAAACTCCGGACCTTTCGAAAGGAATTTCCTCACTTTTTCAGGACTTCCGGACCACCCTTAAAAAAGCCGTACTATTTCCGGACTTGTAGACACCCTGGTAGTAAGTGTCATCGAGTTTTTTGGGCAGAATTTTGCAAAATAGGAATTACTCAAAAATCAAATCCCTTTGGCAAACAAGAGCTCAATTTTGTCATTTAATTAATAATTTTTCGATGCGTGAAAAGAGAATCTCATTTAAACTTTAAGGGTCTCTTCGCAGCAGGACATAAATTACCCGATCAAATCAGCATTGCAACACTATGGGTTCCTTATTGCAAAATGTAGTCCATATGGTTGACCCTGTGCTTGTCAAAAAAATTCGTCGCCCCGGGCCGAACGTAGCGTAATTAGCCGGGAGAATCGGAACGTTTGCATTCATTGATACTAATGAGGCTCGGGAGAATACAGCGTTATCGAGTGGCGTTCGTCGGGAGGTGAGGATTCGAGGCGCTAATTGGGTCAGCCGTTTACCCTCATGAATAAAACACGAGCGCGTATAGTAGTCGGTGGATTTAGTTGTGGCCGACACCAGTTTCGCTGTTTGTTTTTCTTCGCTCGCAAGTGCTGCGTTTCTCTTCCGCGTTGTCTCCGACCACGTGCTCCTCTCGCGAAAACCCGCTCGAGATCCACGCGAGTTCCGGCGCGTTCCACCGTGGTAACTCCGCGCATCACCGCGAGAGCGCGCTGCTCTCCGTCTCCGTCAAAATTTGACCACTATCGAGGATCTAGACCTAGAGTTGCCGATTAGGATGAGCAAGGGTATGTTACATAGAGTACCTATATTGAGAGAGTATGGCCACTGGTGTTACCACCTCTGATTGGCTCAGCCATCTTAGGCTGAATGGAGCCCTTGGGACCCAAAAATGGCGGACGCCATAAATTAATGTAATGCAAAATGACTCAAAATGTAGTTATATTTGCTTATCGTAACGAGAAATTTACCCTAATGCATTGTTGCGACTTCTTTACATATTTTTAAGGCTAATCGTGTGCAATTTTTGAGAAAAATTATCTTGGATGTAGTAAGGTTGGCAGCAAGTGCGGTTGGTGAAAACCGTCAAAAGTTGGCAGTGACCCCCCTCCCTTCCACAAAAACCAAAACAACGCACCGCCATTTTTGGGTCCTAAGCCTCTCCATAGGGCCCAGTGGCCATACTCTCTCAATATAGGTACTCTTATGTTACACACAGAAGACACGCCAACAGGGTGGCCATTTTCTGAATAAAATCTCAGAAAAGTCACGATGGGACCATCAGAAATATTTTAACCACACGTCAAAACGCACGATCTATTTCAATTGTTTTACACATTTATTATTCTACGAATTTCCCGAGCACTACAGTGAGCATTTCGCTCCGGGACAAGCTAATAATGTATTTATCTGCAATTGACACCAAATCCAGATTAAAGCCGCAGGGACCTAGATGAGCCGTAAAAAGTGGTTCGAGCTAGTCAAGAGGATGGATGCGGAAAAAATTGCTGCATTTTGAATGAATGAGAGACCCTTTAGTTAGAGGCAACCTGCGCGACCGTTTAAAAGATGGGCACAGAGCAGTCTATTATCCCCAGTAGATGACTGACGCATTAGATTAGAGGCTGGACAAGGTAAGGTTAGGTTAGGTCAAAAAGTTACAAGTAGAGGACGTTTTATATGTACATTTCTACAGTTACTGCCTCTGCGAGTACTTCTTTCACTGCGCACTGCGGCCCTCAGTCAAGTCCGCCCGAGGAGATATGTGAGAAATTCTAAAGTAAAGAAAGGAACATTCTCTTAAACTATTATCAATCAGTCTCTTATATAATATAGGTCGTTTTTCTTTTTTCTTTTTCTTAAATGCGAAGAAACCATACATGAGATTGAGACCGATCGATAACAGTTTCCGAAAGGGTTAGGTTTTTTACATATCCAACTGGACAAACTAGATGCGGGAAACTGCACGGAGAAGTGCCTGAAAATTTCGTTTAATTCAAAATTAAGCATTTTGGGAATATACAATTTAACATTTTAAAGCGCTTTACGTGACTTTTCTGCAATTTTTCCTTCAACTCAGTTGGCCTTTCTTTTGTGTGCAACAGATCTACCCATTGCCATGTCTGTGCCGATCTTTGATATTGGCTCTCCAGTTTCACACTTTTCATGAAGTCCTTGAGTACCAATTTGAACAAACCCAACCAAGAGAACTTCGTACTTGGGAAAAGAACCAAATGATAATCACGTGGAAAAAAGACATTTTTGGCAGAAATATCTATAAAAGTTCCTCTAAAAGAATCTAGTCAAAATGGGGCCGGATGGCGGTGGCTTTTGAAGGCGATAAAATGCCTTGAAATTTGATTATGCTCAGACTATGCAGCCGCAAAAATGACATAACTGCATATGGTTGCAAAGTAAGTAAAAACCATGGACATACGTGTAATTAATTAATTTTATTTCGATGATTCTATCCATTTACATTGAATTTTAATTGATGCTCAGAGAATGTTGAATTTTGGACAGTTGGTATGCCACTTTCCTGTTTCTTAAAACTGTAAGCCATTTTAGATGTTGATATACCACTCTATTAGGAAATACCGTAATTAGATCGTTGATTTTAAGCTTCAAAGCACGAAATGACCGTTCCGTCTTGCCTAAATATTTCAGACTAAAGAAATGAAGCAATGAGCACTTTGCTCACAGCATGAATCCTCTTCGCCACCTCTTAGGTTATCTGTATAAAAAGCGAGTCTTCTTAAAACAAATTAAACTGGCTACTGGCTACTGGCTTAGAGAGAATTTTCAAGAGAGCGATTATCGTCATTTTTAGTAAAAAAAGTTAAAGAAATGAAACGAAACATAGTTAGCAATTTCAAACGTTTCTAGGGAGATAGACAGTTTTCGACTCTATCTATCAATGTCTTAGGAAAAAAGGCCTCCTGGATCCAGATTCCGGACTCTTAAAAAATTGGACAATAAAAAATACTCTTGATTCAATCGGATTTTCGCTTGAATCCAAAGGAAGTTCACTTAAATTAAGAGGCCTGGAATCCTGGATCGAGATGCGGGCAAAAATCCTATTGAATCAAAATTAATTTTTCTTGCCTAGTTTTTTAAGGGTCTGGACTCGGGATCCAAGAGACTTTTTTTTTTCACTGGTCAGTGGTTGTGAGCCTCCCGTAGCTGCAGTCCAAACATAAGAGAAATCCATGAGATTGATGGTGCAACGATGCTGCTCTGCGTTAAAAGCTGTTATTAAAAACAGTTATCAGCTTTGATGGTTGCGCGAGCTGGTGCGGCGTGCGAGGTGTTCTGCAAAAGCTCGCGTGTTCAAGTTGAAGAGACACAGGGATAGGGGAATGAGGAGGGGATGGGGGGTGAACAAATGAGCAGTGGTCAATAGCGCATCCAACCCAGGCACTCATCGCGTGACCGCACTCAAGACTCAAGATGCTCCCCGAGTCCCTGGATTCCATTGAGTGTTGTGTCCCTGCAATATGGCTAAAAACTATGCGTAGATATTGCATTCAGAGGAGAATAGGCGCAAAAAGTGATTTCTGCCACCCGCAATTTCCGAGAATTTCATTGCCTTACCCAAATTTCTGGTAAATTTACACTGGTAAAAAAAACCTCTTGGACCAATGCCGCATTGCATTGACTCAAGAGTGCAGTTTCTTGTCGCCGGATTTAAGAGTCTTGAACTCTTGTTTCAAGCGGATTTTGCATTGATTCAAGCGGATTTTGCATTGAAACAAGTGTCCAGACTCTTAAATCCGGCGACAAGAAACTGCACTCTTGAACCAAGAGTTTTTTTTTACCAGTGTAGTTTGAAAAATGTATTTTCTTTGGATCAAATTTAGCAAAAGGGGAACAACGCGGTTAAAATGTAATGTGAGAGCATAATACTTATCAATAACAGATAGGTTCATTGACGGAATCGGTACCACTTTATACGTGATACCGATTTTGCAAAATATCACTTAAAGTTTTCAGCTTGATGGTTCGCAGTTCAGCTGGTCATTATGTCATCTACCATAACTCTAAGAAAGAGCCAAAAATATATTATGTGTACGAATGAGCCACTTTTACGGCGCGCTTGGGCGCTCTGCGACGCCCACCCGCCACATGCATCTCTCATGGTAGAGATCCTCCGGAAGCTGGCATCTCTCCATCTCTTCACGGATTACAAGATTACGGATAAAGATTATAACTAATCGCATACATTGAGATAGGAGGAACGTCTTGAGATATGAGGTGTTTTTTCCTCGATTTCAGTATCGCCGTAAGTACTAACCTTACGTGTAAGAGTGCATCAGATTGATTGACGCAAAGTTCCTTGTAACTTCAAGGATTATGAAGATAAAATAAAGGTAACCTAGGAAATATCGCTGTTGGAAAGAAATACAAATTGCCTAAAATAAACAAGCCGTTATCACTCAAATGGGGTGAGAATTGGTCGGCATCTTACCCTGCTCACATCCGCGGCGAGGAGGGGAAGGAGGGGGTTGCCCGCACCCCGTGCGACAATGGCGCGGCGGCACCTGAGACTTAAGAGTTACATCGATTTATGCAAATGCATGTGAAAACTTGAAAGGTAGCGAGACCATCGTCGAGTAAAAACAAGGTGGCGTTCCGCGAATCTGCCAGCTTTCTTTAATCAATCGCGGACCGCGCTATGATTCCTGGAAAACATTCTGATTTCACCGAGCAGTGTAATATCAGGAGCATTTAAAACGACATCCATCATCATTAAGACTTCTGATGTAAGCCTCGTGTAGAAATTGAAACGAGTGAAAAAAAAGTTGCAATGGGCCGGTTGCGTTGGTAACAGAATCGTGTTTTGATGCTTGATTCCCTTAGACTAGGTGAAAATAATAATGACCGTCCTGAAGCATAACTTCCTACGTTGAATATTAACCGAGATATCGTCCTTTGAAAAGTCGAGTTTTTGACGTCATCCACCGCGGTGGTGCATAACATAGCATGTACTACCGCGGTGGATGGCGTCATAAATCGAGTTTTTCAAGGCGCGATATCTCGGTTGCTATTCAACGTAGAAAGTTGCTTTTTCGACAGATCTTATTATTTTTAGCTAATCTACAAGAATTAAGCATCAAAACACGATTCTGTAGCCAGCGCAACTGACCCATCGAACGTTAAAATCTACTGCAGTTTTTCCGATTGTACTTTTGATTTGAGGAAGAAAGCTAATGATTATTGTTTGGTGTTGCAGGCTCCAGTTCGAAACCGTGGTGGAGGTGTGGGGGCGACAGCGGTGTCAGTGGGGGGCCCCGGAGGCGGAGGTGGAGGCGGCGGCGGAGGCGGACTATGGGGCCCCAGCCGGCCAGGGAGCCCGGCAGCGGACAATGCCAGCGACACCTCCTCCGTCATGCCGCCCCTCCCTACAAGGCCAAAGTCCCGCGCCGACGCCAAGTATAATAACCTCTCATACTGGCGCGCCAGAAAGGTAAAGTATCACCTCACTCTCAACTTTGCACTGGAAAAAAAGGTCCAGCTTAAGAATCCCTCATAAATCAATGTTCTTAAAATACGTAACGCTCTCTAATGGAGCTCTCTAACGCTCTCTTACACTCTCTAAAGGAGCTCTCTAACGCTCTCTTACGCTCTCTAAAGGAGCTCTCTAACGCTCTCTAAAGGAGCTCTCTAACGCTCTCTAAAGGAGCTCTCTAACGCTCTCTAAAGGAGCTCTCTAACGCTCTCTTACGCTCTCTAAAGGAGCTCTCTAAAGCTCTCTAAAGGAGCTCTCTAACGCTCTCTAAAGGAGCTCTCTGACGCTCTCTAAAGGAGCTCTCTGACGCTCTCTAAAGGAGCTCTCTAACGCTCTCTAAAGGAACTCTCTAACGCTCTCTAAAGGACCTCTCTAACGCTCTCTAACGCTCTCTAAAGGAGCTCTCTGACGCTCTCTAAAGGAGCTCTCTAGCGCTCTCTAAAGGAGCTCTCTAGCGCTCTCTAAAGGAGCTCCCTAACGCTCTCTAAAGGAGCTCTCTGACGCTCTCCAACGCTAGGGTGGGGAGGAAGAGGAGGTTGGTCTAAGCCTGCGTTGCTGGTGTGATACAATGGGAGGAGAGGGCTTTTAGGGTTATGTTTACTACCGCTGAATTGGGCGCGTGGCGCCCATTTTTTGAAAAACTTGGATGAAAAAATTGACGTAAGGTAGCGGTTGGTCATCCAAAGTTCATCTTAAAACGCTAATTTGACGAAGGAGGGTGTACCAAAGCGTTACCTAATTCTCTTAAGGAGTTGCGGACCTGCGTTACGGATGCATGACGAAAGAGAAGCGGGTTAAAAAATACGATTTTTAGCATTACTCATTTCATGAACGGCCACTAATTTGACTCATTTTCCAATTGGGAACTACAATTTCTGGTTAATTTTAGAAGCATTTGTGCATTTGTGTTTTCCTGTGCAGATACCGGATAAGCTCCTGATTGTAAAAAATGCGGTTCACTTACTTTGAACGACATAAATAGCCCTCCTAGGATGAAAAAGCGTGATTCCCATTAGTAGGAGCCGCAGCTTTAACATTGAACCCGTTGCGGGCGGTGTGCCTGCACAGCACACAGCTTATAGTGATAGTAGCAACTATTGGAATCAGCGTGGATAGCTTTATTTTTGAATCAATTTCTCGGTGCTTTTTCCGTGTAATCAGGCAAATCAAAATCAATGAAATTTTCAGTTTGAAATGACCAACAGTCTCCACTCGAACAGACAATAAATTTGGGAGAGAAAATGTTGCATTTTTGTAAAGTTTCTTGTCCAGGTGAAGCAGATTGCCATGATTCTTAAATATGCTTTTATCATGCATAGAAAGGGAGAGAAAAGAAAAAAACAAGAAATAAGGAAGTTCCATATCACGATGTCAGAATGCTGCCTGCCAATGTCAACATGACAGCCTCAGTACTACTAACTGTTGGTTGACGCAAAATGATTGTGTGTCGCAGGTTATATTCTTCAAGAATGGGGACCCGTATTTTCCGGGCTTCGAGTTGCGTTTCCGGCCCGGGCGCGATATCAGCACGCTGGAGGCCCTCCAGGACAAGCTCTCGCTCCGGCTGGACCTACCCCGCGGTGCCCGCTACATCTTCGCCATGGACGGCCTCCCGATCACCTCCTTGGAGGAACTCGAGGACGGTGCTGCCTACGTCGTGTCTTCCTACAAAACTTACAAGGTAAGTGGCATCCGCACCCAACGCAGCCAGTGGCGTGGCGTGAATTGCGATTTATCGATTTTTATACCATTTAAACCTATGGAAAAGGATCGATAAACAGGGTGTTCGCAGCGAACACCTTCATAATCGATTCTTCATCATAGGTTTAAATGGCATAACAATCGATACATCGCAATTCACGCCACGCCACTGCAACTCACCATTTCAACAATGCTTTATCCGCATGAGACGCGATAATTTCAGCTGTACAATGTTTTCGACTGTTTACAAGAAAAGAGGCGCTGGTTTGCGGGGAGGGGGGGCGTTCAGTACTATAAGCTTTGTTGACTACGATTCGGCAAGCGATTTTGGCTATACGGTTCGGCAAGCGATTTTGGCTACGATTCGGCAAGCGAATTTAGCCTGTGAGTTTGTCAAGGGTAGTTATTTACTGTCCTTGAGGTGATTCATTAACCGCCATATTTTGTGTCAGAACGACATGTGATATATCTCATTGATTAGTTCCATGTTTTCAGCTACCTGTCATTTTTATCGAATTTTGCAATTGCATTCCTGTTGTCACGAGACTGAAGAGTTTATTTGTGCCTTCAGCGAAAGAAAGGCAGAGTTTTTTCAGAGGAGAAATATTGTATTTGATACTAATATCGCAACTGCACTCGAATTCGGTATTTTTCCTCCGAAACTCCATGCCTTTAATACGTTGAATTTGTTTGTTTGTGTTTAGTGAATTCTTCAGTATCGTGACAGCAGAAATACAATCTCAAAATTCGTTAAAAATGACAAGTGGCTGAAAACAAGGAACTAATAGATGAGATACATCGCGAGTCGTGCAGGGCCGGCTTTACCTTCGGCTTAACCAAAAGATCACGAAACTGCGCGAAAGTTAGGTTCCGCAAACCTATCTCTGTGTGGGCAAGACCTTCCATTAATAAGAAATGAACGAAAAATTATGGAAAAACAAACATACTTAAATGTGGTTTAATATTTTTAACTTCCGCCGCCGCGCCGCGCTGAGTGCTCTGTGTTTGGCGCAATGCGTGAAGTATTCCTACAGTCTTGTAGGCGTTATGCTTTTCACGCCGACCGCAGCGGAGCGCACTGTTTTTGACGCGATGCGTGAAGTATTCATGCGGTCTTGTAGGCGCTAATATGTGTTACATGCCGATAGCTGCGCCGAGGGTTTCTCCTTTTTATCTCAAGTCCTCGTCATCAATGCTCTCTGCGCCGCGCCGCTCCAGGTCAAATTGCGTGTCTGGTTTCTCTCTTAACTCGACTACTTTAAAGGAGCTGTCTCTTGTATCACCGAACGACGAAATAATTAGAAATTACTATACTCTCAGGAAATGACAGATTATGTCGCCTTATCTCGATTGTAATTTTTTTCTAAATTCGATTTTTTTCATACCTACATTTAATAAAATTGCAAAATTGCCCGCCATGGGCCGCGGCCCATATGGCCACCCTCTAAAACCGGCCATAGAGTCGTGCTGACACAAAATATGGCCGTCATCGAATGACTTGGAAGATGATGTGCAAATGGTTACGATCATTATCGTGCCAACCAAAATGTAGTGGCTCTCATATCATGCATTAGTCTTAAGAAGTGCAGGTGCCCATAAGTAACTCTGATATATATCCGCTCAGATGAAGCCTTTCTACAATCCCTTGACTCAATATATATGTAAGTTGGCTCACCTCCTGATTCCTCATTTTTGGCAAGACCCAGCTTCTCTTGCTCTGGCAGCTCCCGCCAAGCCCCTGTAAGCGTCAAATACATATTTAGTGTCTCTGTACTCCACAGTGTTCTCATTTTGAGTTCCTCCTTTCTTATTGGATAATTCGTCGCTTGGCTGGCATAAGGGCGACGCAGAGACATGAGACATTGGGATAAACCCGGGAAAACATTGAATTGTATGGAAGACAGGGTTCATTGCAGAGTGTAGTTACGCCCTTATGTCAGGTAGGAGACGAATTATTGCGCCTTCGAAGGGACACAACATGAAACCATTCAGTTAAAAATCATTCGGAAATTTGATACCCAATAAAATTGACAAATTATTATATTTTTACTTCTCTATATCTTAGGAATAAAGTTCCAGTTTAGGAGGACTCTTTAAGATCCTTTTCCGTGCCTTATATAACATCATAAGCGGAACATTTGCGGAGCTGCAGTAAAATTCATGAGTATAACTTTGACAATCCACCATTGCAGGATATTACAATGACTTGTGTCTACAAAAAATAAAATACATAAGGATATTGTCTACTGATTTTGAAAACCTCTACTTCAAAGTCTGTCAAAATCATAAAATTTTAATCTTCCTATTTTTTGTTTGTTCTCTGGCAGACCATTTTAATCTTTTCAGGGGTCTATTTCCAATCGTGGACCGTTGAATTTTACCTGAATTGGTAAAAATGGTCCTTCTTATGGTGTTATGTGAGGGGTCATTTTCATACTCTCTTAATCACAACAGTATCCATATGAAACCTCCTAGGAAAAGTAGCTGTTCAAGGAAGGTAACCTCTAAAAGAGGTGAGATGTTGGGAAACGTGAACTAGAAGGAGAATATGCAACGGGCCAAAAGAAAAATACTAAATAATAAATACTAAATAAATTTAGGGATCACAGGGCAATATCAAATCAACAAGGAGATTTTGGCACTAAAACAAACTTTATTCAATGCCTTGGCAGGGTTTAATAAATATCACACATTAAGGAACTAGAAACAACTTGAATCAAAAATTGTATCAAAACACAAGGGACAGCTGTAGGAGCTATAAACTTGATTTGGAGAAAGTACCTCCTAGGAAAAGTAGCTGTTTAAGGGATGTTTATACGACCCCTAGCCTCCGAGTGATCCACGCCGTCCCACTCCTCGGCGATCTGACAAACAGCCCCATGTGTCGGATCGTTTCGTGTCTTTCATTATTCATTTTTCGTCGGATTAAATTAACTCCGTCCGGCGGATAGGAAAACGCCCTGCACACCAGTTGCAAACCCCCTCGCGATTCCAATAAAACCTCCGCGAAAACGGGAGGGAGCGACACCGTATCGGCAGCCTTGCCCATAATTCTCGGAATATTTTCCGTCGGTCAGCCCATTAAAAGAGAAAAAATTATCTCGTTATCGGCGACCTCGAGGTAACGCCTTGTGCATCTGCTGACCTTGAAGGCGTCGGCGACCTCGCACCAATCATGCAACCCGGTCCCGGGTGCTGAGCCCTCCGCCGGACGTCGCTGATCCCGGCACTTCGGCAGGACATGCTAATCGGCCAATTTCATGCTACATATTTCCTCCGCTTCGATCCCCATGAATTATTCATCCGGGTCCTTTCCGCGAAGTTTCCTACCATCAGAGGCGACCGTTTCGTTAGAATTGGATATTGGACTCGCTAAACTGCTGGGGCGGAAGACTTGACTTCGATCACCGTCTGCATCGAGAAAAAGCTATGGTTTATAAACCAATTTGTGGTTTGTATACCACTAATAGTAGTAAAGGCAACATATAATAGTTAGTTAGTTAGTTAGTTAGTTAGTTAGTTAGTTTGTTAGTTAGTTAGTTAGTTAGTTAATTCGTTAGTTAGCTTACGACGCTCAGCAACCAGACTATTTACGTCGGGGACCAGAAAACCTTATATAAATTTTTAAATTTAATTGCTTAAGGAGTTTCAAAATTTCGGTGACTACTATGGGATCATCTGAGCTTAAAAGATGGATATTTTGAGGGACGGAATTTTGAATTTTGATGCGTGGAGAATAGGTTTTTGGGCAAGAAAGCAAAATGTGGTCGATTGTAAGGGGAGAGACATATAATAATAGCTCACATACCTTCTTGATGGTACATATGCCTTATAACGGTTCACAGACCGAGAATCATTAATTCATTTACGACTATTATTGGTGTTCCGTAAGAACCACTAATTGGCATATAAAGCCATAGATTTTTCTCCGTGTGCCATAAAGACCCATCATATTCGGCTCATTATAGGAACGACAGTAGGGCAAAGGGTTTTGTGATTTGAAAAAAACTTGTTGAAATTCTCAAAACACAATATGCACCCATTCATGCATTGACTTTGGCTTCCACCTCTGCATAGGTTGCTGCTCGGCGAGTTATCAATGAGTGGGGAAATGGACATAGACACTAACTATTATTCGTGCGTCCCGAAATGGGCGAAATGCTTAATTGGCGTGCACCATTTGTCTAAAAATTGAGAATTTATCTTCTTATGTCTGGCAGGGTATTCGAATGGCTCGAAAAATTATTGCCGAATCTTAACGCGCCTCACTCTCCCTTATAACCTCTCTGGCACCTCAACTGTGAGAGTATAGATACTTAAAGGTCAATTTTATGATGGAGTCAGCCATCATTTCCTATCCTGGTCCTATCTCAGGCTCAAAAATAGAAGACGTTCAAACCGGATTTAGATTAAAATGATGAAACATTTGGATTCATTTGCTTTCGACGCCACAAATTTACTTAGACCACATTATAAAATGGCCCAAAATGCTATATTGGATTTTCTAAAAGTATTTAGCCTTGCAATCACAGTATGTATTTAGGTTCTGTTCATTTTAAAAATCCATTTACCTTCATAACATAGATTTTGATACAACCCGCTCTTCAACACTTGCGTGTTAAACCTGCCGCATTTATTTTTTAAAATAATATTTAGGAACATTCTTATTTTAAGTTTTTGTAACCAAACTCCTGTTGCTATAAACTATGAAAAAATATATGAAAGTTAAAGATGTTAAGTTTTTGAGTTGACTTATTGGCCCCGAGGGATACAGTGGTTTTATTGCTACACTGAAAAAAACACTCCGGCCGTGGAAGCCGTAGCACTTCGACTGCTCCGGGTGCTACGCCCGGAACTTTCGGCCTCTGAGCCCGGACCACGGACGGTATCTCTATATAGCCCGTAAGTACGGATTCCACGGCCGGAGCGTTTTTTCAGTGTAGCTAAATAATGATTAAGCAGTCCCGCGTCTGACTCCCG